CGCATTCGGATAAACCGGAAAGATCCCCTTCGGCGAGCCCGGGTAATCCCCTAGACAGCGCCCGCCTTGGCGCGAATGTACTTTTCAGAGCGGGAAGGAAAAACCGCATTTTAATATGGAATACCCGAGACTAGTGTCGAACTTCGGGACGGTGGACGAGGTTTCGCCGGCTCTCGCGGGCGCTGGGGATTATGCAAGGCGGTGCAGAGAGAGGACTGCAGGTCTAGGGATTGTAAAATATAGAGATACTGCTACAATGTTTCTGCGGAGATCTGTTAACTTGGTTAACTTGTTAGAGAAAAGAATATTTTACCGATTAATTTTCGTCTATTAAGTCCCGAGGTTGGCAAAGTAAAGCAATCACATTTTGGGACAAATTTCGTGTTACTTATCCATGTACAGGGTATATGCGGATGAAGTACCTCTCGTAAACTTTTTTATTGTTGATTTCTCGAGATAAAGTTATTCTTGATAAAAAGTTTTGCTTATCTTGGGAAGTCATGTGCAGTAATCAAATATACAGGGTGTCCGGAAAGGTCATGTCAAAAATGAAGGGGTGTACAGAGGAGCTCAAAATAATTATAGTGCTTCGTAAAATAATTTTTCCTATCGGGCTTCGTTGTGGAGTTATTCGCCTTCGAAGAAAGACGTTTGAAAAACAAATTCAATTATAACTTCTAAGTCACCACGACAACAATGAAATTTGGGCAATTAAAGTATGTGGCAAGTTCATTTCCAAGTTTAAACTGATACTCAATAAGCCTGAATTATACAGGAGCAGACAAAATGATCCAAATTTATACACCTTTGACAGTGTTGCCAAATTTGATATTTTTCTGTCATAGTTCGATTCCTCTCTCACTTTGTTAAAAAAAAAGGTATACCATATATCAATCGATATCTTGTTTTGCTATTTTTTGAGGTTAGGAAATTCATGTGATGTGATGTGATAGCTCACTTTTGACACCGGATTCGTGATCAGGAGGCAAAAATACTACGGACATATGTCGCATGAAAAGTACAGACAACTTTTTTTGTGTGTGGCTGTGTAATTACCCATTTCAAAAACCAAAATAAATGTTCTAAATTTACCGAGGGCACAGTAATCACACTATCAGCGTCATTATACAATAACATGTTCATGTCTGTCTCTGATCTGAAGCTTCGCATCGATCAATTTATTCGATACGCATCTAGCGGCACCCTAATGCCTGCCCTGTCGGCCTGTGGCGCTGAACAATCCAGGTTTTTTTACAGAGAGGCGTTGACCGTGCATTTCATTGTCCTTTGTGCATGTGTGACTGAGTTTGACGCTTTGCTTGGTCCAGTGTATGGCACGTGTTTTTATGGCAATTGATCACAGAGTTAGCCTATTTCTGCTACCACAACGCGTATTTCCGCTTACTAGCATAATATAGATTACTACTATTTATTTATTTGATTGACGGCACGAAATTAAAAACAACTCACCCCGTTATTTTTATAGCATGTAAACAATTTAATGCGTAGGTATATGTGTGGCTAAAAAACCTCCTTAAATATTTTTCACTATATAACTTTTATTATTTTATTGATGCCAGCATTGTTTCGTATCGGTCAATTAATGAAATAATTTTGCACAGTTTATTTGACAATAATCCAAAATTTTAAGCGAAAACAGTACAGACGATTAAATGTTAATAGTATTTTGATATAAATAGCAGGGAAATATTAAAACATGTACCTATCAAATATTAATATACAGAGGAATATTTAGAAACGGCAAACGCAAAGTGACATTAGTCAACCGTCATTTTTTGTTGGGAAAATGGAAATAACGATTGCGGTACTTGGTAAATCTAGGGACACCTTTTGATATTCCTAAATATGGACAAATGTCTCTTAACAAAATAATGTGCCAATTTCTTTTCTTCAATTATTTTGGATAATTTTAGGGTCACTTTTTGTTGCATTCGCAATGCGTAAAAACATCAAAATCGGACCACTAGTTTTAATCGACATTTTATATGGGTTGCACAAGGGCGCAAGTTTTGCAAATTCATTCCCGGAAAGTACTCGGAATGACAACGGTATTTGTTTAGAAAACAGCCCTCCAGACCTTGTAGTTACGCCACAAATGCCGGTCAACTTTGATCGACTATAACTCTGGAACCAATTAACGAATCACCATGTTTTTTTTTTAAAAAAAGAAGCATCTTTCTGAGTACTTTAAAAGCATAATTAAAAAAAATAATTATAATGAATTTATAAGCGCAAAAATTACGCATTTCTTTAAACAGTTACAACGGCTCTCCTAATTAACGGATTTCAATTTTTCTGGACGCATTTTAAAGTTTGAGTGCCCTTTTTTATGTGATAGAATTTTCAAGTATCTAAGGCTCGGTCAAATTTGCAAGAATTTCAATTTTTTTTTCAAAATTAATAGTTTTTGAACTGTGTTGAAAAAAAGAGAAAAAAAAATGAATTTTTTCCAATTTTTTCGCTATTTGTTTAATAATAAGTTTAGCACACGTTTTAAAGCGCGCGCATAGTGAAATTACGTTCTGTTATATCCTTTTGGAGTCATTAAAGCAAAAATTAGCGATACTATATAAAACATCTACACCAAAACAGATCCCGCCTGGTCTATTATTGTTTCAGCACGAATATTATTATACCTTGTATTTTCAAAATCATTAGTGATAAATCATGTCCCCATAGGAAAAAAGTTCCAGTGGGGACAAACCCGGTATACGTGGAGGTCATCCACTTTTCATTAAACATATCGTACAGTGTCCTATAAGTGATGGTACATGGATGCAACAGCGGGCGTTACACACTAAAATGTTACTATTTAACCAAACTTACCTTAGTCCAAAACTTGATACTTAAAAAGATGCAGGGTGTTAAAGTGAAACAACGACTAATGCACATCCGGTCATAATTTTGTTGTTACTGATTAGAGGAGGCGACTTGCGGCACATTGCATATTTTTAAAATGTCTTTTTGGCTTCTCGGTATATCTGCCCTTTGATATTCTCTTTATTTGTACCTGGCAAGTAACAATTTTCAAGATATTCACCTCTAAAGTTTGAAAATACATAAATGAAAACCACTGCCAACAGTTACAGAAAATGGACCCTTTCTTCATTAATTGTTGTTTATTTATTTCATTGTATTTTATTGTTTTTTATTTAAAAGTATGTTTTCTTTTTTTCATGTCAACATTTGATATTATAAATTCATGTAATCTTGATTCTAAATTACCCAATATTTGGAAAATTTCTTGTACAGAACCTTTGCCAAAAAAGAAAGACGTTCTATCTTAAGAAGAGAGTGCATCATGTGGAATTTCCCAAGGATCAATACTTAGGCCCCTGTTATTTAGCATCTATACGAATTTATTAAATCTTCTTTGTAGATTCGAGGCATATCCACAAAGTAAGAGTACCCATTTAAAAATCGAATCGCCTTCATCCTCAATGTACTGTGTGAGCTGAGGGATGAACTTTCTGATAAATCGCAAAAAAAAGTTCCGTCGCCTCTCGGGCCCATTGTTTCACGGCACTGTAGACCTCATATTTGGTAGAAAACCTTTTTTTACCCATAAACACCTTCAGAGAAGAGAAAAGATGAAAATCAGAAGTTGCCACGTGAGGGCAGTGAGCAGGGTAGTTGATGACGTTCCAACCGAATGAATCCAATAGATAATGTGGTAATGGCTGTGCGAGGACGTGCATTGACATGCAGAAGCTTTTCTTCGATCTTATTCATCATCTCACGACTGAGAGATGCTCACTCCTTTGTTTATCATGAACATTCGTGTATACTCACCACACCACTTGTATAGTATTTCCAAAGTCAATTGAACATGTATAAAAATAATCTACCGATAAAATTTAATGAGTTTCATAGGCGTCCCCAAAAAAGTTTTCTACTAATGGTAAAAAATTGTAATAATTTGTAATGCGCAGAAAATTTCTATTATATGTTTAACAACATATTTTAATTATTTATGTCCTCAAACAATTTTACTATATTGATTGTAAATTTTGTTTTGTTCCGTTTCAAAAGGTGTCCAAAATGCCATGTTGTAATAATATTATTTCTCCCTTTCGCAATTGTAATATCAATGATTAATAGAAGGTAAATTTCGCATTGCTGCACAGCACTGCTAGGCAATCTGTCAACCACTTGTCAACGGCTGAGATTTATTGCCCAGTTGCCCAGTGCTACTATATTATACGCCGTTGGCCTGCGCTCGCATTCTTCAACTGGGCGTATACCACCTCCTACCACCTCCACATTTAGTTCGACTAGACCTGTATATGGGTATCGCTAAATAAATATGGGAACCATTTTTTCAAATATTTCAATGCCGAATTGCTGCGTCAGCGACCAAACCTGGTACATACTGCCAACTTCTTGGCACAAGAATAAGTAATAATCTTGTGCTGTTGGTTCTTCAATTGAAATCGGAAAGACTATACACATTAGTCCGATTCATCGCACCATCCCCATGAACTGTTTTGATATCGTTAAAAATCTGGAATGGCGCCTTTCCCTTTGCAAGAAGAAACCGGATTACTTTCTCACCTCGCAGATGACGAAATTCGGAATTCAACACACCACTACAACAACAGTTCTCACCTGACTGAGACAAATGAGCGCACGTTCTGCTCCCTACACCTGGGCCTTAAATACAGTGTTGCCAACTTTGTTGAAAACAAAAATCACAGAAGATCGGAGTCTTGGAACTCAAACCTTGTGGATGTGCTTCGTATGAGTCAAATTATTCATTACTTCAATAATACTATTTAGATAATTGTTTATTTCCATTTCATAGATAGTTACCAGTTACTAACTTGTCCATGAAATTAGATTTCTTTGATATGATAAATATTTGGTACCAAAGGGTATGATATGACCTCAGATGACTCAAGTTTAAGGGAACATCACCGAAAATATATTTTTCTCGGGGTCAGAAAAAATAATTAAACATTACATTCTATTAGCTTTATTAACACTTTATCCATAAACACCGAACGTAAACCAACACCGACAAGACTACCCCTCGTCATCCAGGTCGTCCTCGTCCTTCTTGATGATCCCCAGCGTCTTCGCCACGCTCTTCACCTTGGAGATCACCTCGTCCTGCACCAGATTGAAACTCATAGCCAACAAGGAAATCCCGAACAACAAGTAAAGCGAACAGAGGGCTATCCTGATGTTGGCGTCCTGCGCCTCACCCTTGGCCGGCACCAGGTCCCCGAACCCTATGGTGGTGAGCGTTATGAAACAGAAATAAGCCGCATCCAAGTAATTCCAATTTTCCCAGTACTTGAAAAGGTACGCCCCGGCTAGGATATAGCTGACCACCAGCAGCACGCACAGCCAGATGGGCACCGGCTTCGTCCTGACCCTTTTGAAGTCGTAGAAATCGTCGTAGTAGTCGTAGTAGTAGTCGTCGTCCGAGTCCGGATCGTCCAGGTACTTATTGGAGTGGCCGTATCCCAGAGGCGTCATCATCCTAGGGCTGGCCCTTGTCTGAGCTGAAAAACAATTCGAAATTGCCCCTCATCGATCACACGAGTGGAAAACTCACGGTTTGGAGACCTGGACCTTCTCCCTGAGTGTCTGTGTTTCCTGCGCCCTCCCCTAAAAGACTCAAGTTCTTCCCTGTCGGAGGAATCAGGGGAAGGGAACCTGGGTGGTTCCAAGTAGTGCTGGTTCCTGGGCATGCTCTTCGCTCTTCTGTCGTTGACTTTTGGGATCTTCCCGACACCTTCTGAATCCCTTACGGTGATCCCTAAAATGATGAGGTAAAAGCGGTACGGGAATCTTCGAGCAGAGGGGACACACTCTAATTGTTAGAGGTAAGCAGCAAGCGTCAGTATACAGAGGTTCAACACTGTTAGTTCACTGTTAAAGCGCCGGTTTCGAACGGTTAGAGTCGTTAAGAATTTCATGGGAAAAAAGAAATGTCTTTCTTCCAAATTATTGATCACGGAAAGAAATAGCACAGAGATGTACGCTAAAAGACCGTAGCGGAAACATTGTACCAAAAAAACCTATTTAAGCTAATTATAAAGACAATTGCTATTCACCAAAAACCTCCCTAACAGGAGAACGCAATCAGCTTTTCATTGATGTTTTGCATGAGCACGAACTAATGATGAGCTAGATGTTACAGAATTCCAAGTCGATGTTATTTCAATAAGGAATCTTTCTTTCCGCGATCCCGATTTTCTTATTTTATCAATTTCATTCCTTGCGCATGCTTCGGAAGGCGGATAGGGGCGTAGTAGAGGCGAAAGTAGAAGAAAAGATTGGGGGTCAGTTTACCTTTACCTGGTATACTCCTCGCGAACCCGTCGTTCTTCCCCACCACATACTTGTTGCAGAGTATGGGGGTGTGCGCCAACAAGATGGGGTCCATCTCAATCTCCACGTCCCTCTGGAACCTCTTCCTGTCCAGGGAGTTACCTTTGGGGGTCTGCTGCAAATGGTTGACGCGGTTCTGGGAGGAGTTCAGAACGTTCTTCGGAGGGTTATTCTCAGAAAGACGGCCTCCCCGAACCCTTGGAAGGGTCGAACCTCTACGAATAACTTCCTCGTGGTACCTACAAAGTATTAATGTGAACACTTGATATATTTTTTTAGATTTTGATAGTACCTCAGGTCTGTATCTGAATGGTAATTCCCTCCCAGGTCGGATAATTCGAATCCACTATCAGCGGATCTGGTGGAGTTCCTAACCGATCGCTTAAACGAAGCGTTCCTAGACCTAGAAGATCCTCTTTGCCTGAAACAAGAAAACAACGAATCAGTAATGAACACCAACGAGAAATAGAGGTCCGAGGACGGATCCCTGAGCTACGCCAGGACCTGAACTTACTCGATACGGTTAGATCCTCTTCCAGGCCCCCTGAAGGACCTGGACTTCCTTCTCCTGGGCTTTTTGGTGCACACATAGCAGCACACTCTCCAATAGAGGAACCTGAAGGACGTGGCCATAACGTCGCCTATGTTGGATAAGCAGATCAGCATCAGCGGAATGCCCAGGATGGCGTAGAAGATGGTCACCACCTTGCCCCAGGTCGTCCTCGGAGCTAAGTTACCGTAACCTAGAAGAGACAATGAAAGTAAGAGTTTTCTTGTTCATGAATTTTTTATATATAAATCACAAGACCGCATAAAGAGGGCGATTTCTAATTCCAATCATCTACGACAAATGCGGTTCGAGTCCGTGCTTTAAAATATTAATCTTTCGTCGTAAAATCGGTAATAATAATAATGAATGAACCCATTAACCAATATGGAATTAAAAACAGAGCCGTTTTTGAGGCGATAAAATCCGGATGCCCCATAAAGCCGCGGCGATTGAATACAAATTAAAATTTTAGTACTATCGGTTCCGGATGCCTAGTCCTCGCTCTGGTTGTACGATCCGGTGACAGTTTGGTGGTTTATTGACCGACCATTCATATAAACAAACGACTTTGTAATCAACCGCCGGTATATTTCGAATCTACACGTCGATAAATGGGCACTAAGTTGCGTCAAACCCGCAGAATTGTTGAACAGCAGGCGCCACCTACCGTACGCTTCCCTAATCCAGTGGTAAATTGTCAAATTTCGTTCCGATAAGTGGCGGCAAGGCGAAACTTAGCTCGACCCTTTTTTTATTAGCCGTAATCGGTCACCAACCAGACATTACTAAATCATCCTGTACCTGACTTGACTCTTGCTAATAAAAAGTTAATTAGGCGGGTGCCTGCGCAACAACACACACAAATCCGTAATGGTTGAAGTAACCTTGGCAGAAGAAGGAATAATAGCCGTTAAAGCATTGAGTGATGGAGTAAGCCACTGGGAAGTTCGCCTGGATAGGGCCGGACTTCGAAATTTTAAAAGGAAAGTGAGGCACCTAAATGAAAAAATAATACCTTACGTATTTTAAATTTTAACTGGAATGTAACCAGTATTGTAACAAATAGCGTGCCTTGTACAAAAAAACATCCCAGACTAATTGATATTAATGAAGGAATTTACGGTTCGTATGTGATTCGAACGATTTATAAAACTTTCTACTGACTTTTTTTGCACTAGTTAATAAGTTATATAGAGTTATGTTTTTTTCGGTAACAATGAAAATATCAACCGTGCCGATAGCGTTAATCAAATAGACTCGTCTTTCGTCTTCCAACCGCTATAATACAATACGCGGGTTAGAAGACATGTTTGCAAGATATTATACTATGGTGGTTAACCACGGTTGATAACTGAATACTTTTTTTATTTTTAATTTTGACACTGTCATTTCATTTTTTTAAGTAAGAACCAATTTCGTGCGAAAGGAGATAACTCGACGAAACAATCCGAAGTAAAATGTGGAAACAAAAAGATCTCTTTGTAGTAGCTGATTTTTACGTGATTAGTCTGTCAAGAATCATAACAAAACACCAAGAATGCAGAACATTTATTTGAGTGATTGTATTAAGTAATAATTTCAATATTCTGAAGGCTACTGACCACGCAAAGCGAAGAGAGTTGTTCGTTGAATGGATTATGGGACAAGTGGATACTCATTTATCTAACAAAATCAACTTCAGCGATGAAGGTTATTTTCATGTTAATGTCTTCGTTAATCGATAAAATTGTCGCATTTGAAGTTGAGAAAATCCACGAGTGATTGTTGAAAATTAAATGCATCCACAACCTGTCACTGTTCGTTGAGGATTTTGGGCTGGAGGCATCATTGGACTAGTTCTCTTCTAAAATACAGCTGGTCAGACAATAACACTTAATGTGCTTATCGTGACATGATAATTCAGTTTTTTGTGCATACATTGCAAGGCGGTGCCACATGCCATACAGTTCGAGAAACAATTCAATTACTGCACGAGTCATTTCCTAGTCGTGTAATTTCCCGTTTTGATGATCAGAATTGGCAGCCCAGATCACACGATTTAACACCGTCGGACTTTTTTCTTTGGGTTTTTTTCGAAGGTTTATACCAACAAGCCTACAACCACTGCTGTATCAACGAAATTCATCCGCATTTTTGCAAAACGGTAATGGAAAATTTCAATAAATTCCATAAATAACCCTAAAATGAATATGCACTTAATGAATACAAAAATTTACAATTTTTAATTAAAAACAAAACCTGTGTTTTCAATCAAAATTGCTTCCAGCGTGAATTATGGGATGCTCTTTATATCGAATGTGTTTTTGTATTAATTAGACATATCATATTTAGTTTTTATTTTGGATAATAATTATTTATTACAAGCTGTTTAATAGGTACTGTCGTAGTATAATTCAATAGAAGTTGAGTAGTCTGGGAAGTTAGATAACTTTTATATACCTATTAAGATATCTGGCATAAATGAACATTTTTTGACTTCACCTGATAAGATTAAAGAAGTGTTTTGAATGTGTTTGAATTATCTTAATACTTTCAAAAAATATATGCAGGGTGTCAGTTTTTTGTGGTAGAATTTTAATAGTAGGTCGGACGTAGATCTTAGAACGCTTGAGAGATAGGGCGTTGTTGAAAACAAACTTTTTTAAAGAATTTTTATTAATATTTCTAAAACATCAACAGATATTAAACTGGAATTTGGCATTAATAACACATTAGTTATGGTGAATAACATTTCACCCACCAGTGACGTGCCTGAGGTGGGTTACTGCCCTCTTGAAAAAAATAATTCGTACGCCTGTGGATTTTTCTACAAAATAACATCAATTCTAAATTTTTTCAATTCTGAACAAAACAGGTATCTTTCAAATTTTTATAAAATGAACGGTTTCTATAGTACGATCGTATACGATGCAAAGTAGAGCAAAAAATTGTCGGTCTTTTATCAAAGGAAAATCGAGTTATCATTTTTAGGAGGCGTAAGATGAACCGTTTGAAATTTAAAATGAAATTGAATGTAAAATCTGAAATACCGCCGCATACGCACTGTGTTCTGGTACTAGCTGTAGTCGGCCAGGTGCATCGAGTGTACGAAGTGGTCGGTTATACGTCAAATACTAACCTGGCGAGCTTGATCGTAGAGCAGGGAACAATAAACAGTGGCGCGTACAGAGGTGAAATGTAGTACATATGTGGAATTTACATAACGAATTGGATTTATAATAAATTACATTTAAAACAAATAGTNTTGAAAAAAAAAACGAAATTTTGGAAATCCGCAACTTTTTGCTCTCTATCGAATGACATAATCAATTTTTATATGTAACGTTTCTTCTCTCCAAGACCGTCCTTAACTTCATTTTTTTAAATACGACCCTGGAAGTTTTATTACATTTTTTGCAAGCCTTCATGACCCCAAATACTGTACTGCCTTAGCCGGAAAAAGATTCAGACGTTTTGTCTCGAAAAATTAATCTTCAATGTATTCGTTCCAAATTTATCTAATTTTTTTCACGATACAATAAAACATTATTAGAGTTTTAATCTCCATCACCCAGTCATACATAATTCCATAAGTTGTTGCGTCAAAATCAAAACGTTATTACAATTTTGATTTGATTCTGACAAACTAATTCTTAAAATGCATATAAACAACTAAAACTCCAAATGAATATTACACTTTAAAAAATTACGGTAAATGTTCAAAAACATTTCCGTTTCGACAAATGTTGAAAATGAAGATAAGCATAATATGATCTGAATTTATTATACCTGTAACCACAACTGTGAAAGAGCATGTCAGATATATTTGTATGCATATCCTAAAAAAATTAGATCGAAATTTGTTTGAATTTTGAGACTCGAGAAACCTAGAAATAACTATGAGCACGGGATTAAAACTCTAATAATGTTTTACTATAACGTGTGATGGTAATAGTTTAAATAACTAGGTGGATTTCACAGGGTCTAACGACGCTTAGAGTGTACAATAATTCAAGAAACATGCAAATCTAAAAAAAATTGATAAATTTGGAACGAATACATTGAAGATGAATTTTTCGAGACAAAACGTCTGAATCTGGTTCGGGCTGAGACAGTACAGTATTGGAAATCCTAAAGGTTTGCTAAAAATTTTATAAAATTTCCAGTTTCGTATTTAAAAAACTGAAGTTTATGATTTGGTAGAGGGCAAAAAGTTGCCACGAAAAAGTGTTATTTTTCCAATATCACCTCAAATAAGGATGAAATTAAACAAAAACTTATTTCCAAAATTTCGGTTTTTTTTTTCAAATATTTCGAAAACTAATCATGTTAGCCTTGATTTTGGTCTCCGGATCATGCAACTTTACCCCCATTTAAGCTAGTTTGTATCTTTTACAGTTTCCGAGATCCTTGAAGTGAGAAGCGAATTTGTAACAGCCTGTATAGACATATCAAAACATATCGTCATGTTTTTGTTGAAAGATCAGTTGCCAATTTGATTATACAAATATACTTTTTAAACGCCGAGGACATTTTCTACTAAACGCGCTCCGACATTTTCCGAAGGCCGGCGCTGCTCCCGCGTCCGTTAAGTGACCGTGAATATAACCAAATACAACAGCACCGGATGGAAATGGCAAGTATATTCAAATTTTTATGTCAGATGTGTAATTTAATTCAAGAACGTATCATGAGATTATCAATTAGGATGCAAATTATGGTTTTTATTCTCATGGAACAACGGTGAAACCTTTAGCATTATTTTATCGAAACGTGCCTAAATTTTTTTATATTAAATTTGTTTCTTTCTTCCTTTGTTGAATATATATGTTTTCTTTCTACATTTCGTACAATCGTACATTAGTTTTTCTTGCTGGAAACTACAGAGCGTTTCTCAAATAGATTGTCTAGATTTTCACGAAAGTAGATATCAAAATATTTATACAAAGAGTCCCTGATAAACAGTTCTTATTAAAGAAGGTAATCAACGTTTCGATGTTATTTTACGCCGTTTTCAGGGCTCCAAAATACATACAAACATGTTTTTACATTTGTTTAAATAAGTAATTTTAATTGACTACTTTAAACAAATTTAAAAATATGTTTGTATGTATTCTAGAGCCCTGAAGGTGGTGTAAAACAACACAGAAACGTTGGCAATGAATTAAAAATTGTGTTTTTATTAACTTTTTATTGATCTTTATCCCACTAAAA